TAAGGAAGACACTGTCTCCATATGTCATGTGCCTACATGGAAGGAATCACCATCTCTATCAAATACTTACTACCTCCCTAAGGCAGGGCACTGAAGAATGGACTAGTCATGAACTAAGTGAAGCTTAAACTAGATAAATCCAGTTCCTTTGTCTCTAACTCTGTTCTTCTCACTTTTTCCCAAAGCCTAAAGTCTGAAAGATAAAAGAAATATGAGCGGGGTGCCAGAGGCTTACGCTTGTAATCCTAGATACCTAGAAGGCAGAGATGGGAGAAGGAGAGTTAGAAGCCAGCCTGGGCAAATGGTTCTCGAGACCTTATCTCAAAAAAGTCCATCATACAAAAAAAGGTCTGCTGGAGTGACTCAAGTGGTAGAGCACCTGCCTGATAAGCATGAAGCCTTGTGTTCAGGTGCCAATGCCACAAAAAAAAAAAAAAAAAAGAATGAAAGAAAAGAAAAAAAAAAGAAGTACGATCCAAGACAGAAACCTGAGGAGGTGTTTGTTTCTTACTTTATCCCTTTTGAGAGGTTCCTCCACAAGTACTTTCAAAGGAATTTCCATTCCTCATCTGATTTTCAAACTTCCCTTAGGAATTTTTAGGGCAACCCAAGTTCACACTTTCTACAAATAGTTAGAGGGAGGGAGTAGAGAAGAAAGATGTGGGGAAGGGAAAGAGAAAAAGAAAATGGAAGGAAGGAAAGGGACTAGTAATGGCACTGTTAGAAGAAACCATGAAAGAAAAGTAATTGGTTCTTGTTCTCAGCCGCCCCACTGTCAACTGGGACTGGACCACAGTTTTGTGCCTTTTATAGTTATAAGGAAGTAAACATAGGGAATGTTTTCAAATCATTTGAGACTTTCTCAGAGCAATGTATGGACATTTTTGAGGAGCCTAAGTTTTACTATATATACTTTTATGGGGGTTTTTTGGTGACAAAATAGAGAAAATGAAAAATAGCTTTCTGTATAACCTCTCAATTAATGTAAATCCACATCAATCTTAACTTTAAATTAAGTGGAACATTTTGGACCCCCACCCACATTAACCCCATTTTGTTGGGGTTATACATACTATAAAAAGAAATATGCTCCCAAACAATGACAAAAGCCTGAAAATTTCAGCATTAACAATACACTTAGATCCTGATGACATCTGGGCCTAATAATAAACTCTTAAATAGATTTCTGTATACAAAAATTCTGAAGGAACTTCCAATTCTGATTGCTGGAAGATATATTGCAAAAAAAACCACAGTTCAGTCCCAATCTACCAAACAAAGTTGATCTGACTTCAGAAAGAAAAGAAGTATACAAGATATCACAGAACCCTTTCTTCCAGCCAGATGAGGCTTAATCTTGTTTCCAACATCAGGCCCCCATAACAGTGGGACTACAGTTTTGTGAACTCCAACTTTAAAACTGTAACTCTGTGGCACACAGAGAGGAATGACTAAAGCTGACTAATAAAAGAGGTCTTTGTTGGTGAGAAAGACGGGAACCGATGGCCTAACTTCAGGGTTCTAAGAGTCTGCAAAGCAACCAGGAGCACTGGGGTAAATAAAGGCTTACAAGACCTCTGACAGAAAATGACCCAGGGCTCAGCAATTTAATCCCAGCCTTCAGCTTCATGAGCAATTCAGTGTGAAACGAACAAGAACCAGGAAGAGATCTTATTATCCTGGATTATCTGCTGACCAGAACACAATGCAATCAGATCAACAAGGCATTGTTTCCAGAGAACTCTGAGCACCTGAAATGGCTTTTACTAAACAGAACCTCTCTTTGTCATAGGATTTAACCTGGTTGTACCTTTGAAAATAACAACTTGGAAAGGCAAGACCTTCCTTAGAAAAACACCTTAAACATACACATGGCAATGCAAAAACTTGGGGAAGGGGAAACTATCAGAACAGATAGTTACACCTGAATGAGACCACTGTGATTCAGTGTGAAGGGCATATTGCTGATGCACTGCTTTCACAGAGGGGTATGATTGACTTTTGTTTGATTTGGCACTTCCATTCTTTTAAACAAAATTGGAATATTGTTTTAAGGACATAGGCATAGTAATTTACAAGATATAGCCGTAAGAGTGTTTAAGGTCACAGTATTCATGCTTTCTGCTATTGGACCAGCTTTTACTTCAACAACTGACTGTGTTGTCAAGTGTTTTGAACTGCAAGAGAGAGTTTATAAAAGCAGCTGACCATATCTGCATCTATAAAAGCAATCAATAAAGAAATGGAGTTGCTTCTCTAATAGAATGAATAATGAGAGAAGAGTTCTAAATTTGCATAATCTAGCAGGATGTTCATGTTGTTTTCTACTAATGACATAAGTCAGGAGCAGAATAAGCATTGTGACTACTTGCAGTGCAAATTAAAGCAGTCTCTGCTCCTAGACTGGATCCTATACTCAAAAAAGGATGCTTTCTATTAAGGGACTTACTGGGACAGCATAACAACTTTGAAATATAGACAGCAAAGAATTGCACCCATGTTAAAATGATTGAGGTTGAAAACTACAATATGTTTTTTCAAGATATTAGGAAGTACATACTGAAGTACTGACAGCCAAAGGGCCATGAAATGAATCCAAAAATTTATTTTGTGTATGTATGTACATGTATATACGTACAATATGTATTATATATTATACCAATATGTATTTTAAAATACGTATTTTATTATGAAAAAATCCATCTATGGTTTTAGAGAGAGTAAATAATAAAGAGCAAAATGTTACTAGGCTAATCTTGGCACAGGTATTCTTTGTACTATTCTTGCAACTTTTCCTGAGTCTGGAATTATGTGTAAATAAAGAGGGTGGGTTTTTTTCAACTTGTTTTGTTCTTTCTTTTCTTTTTCTGTACTGGGGTTTAAACTCAGGGCCTCATGCTTTGTAGGCAGGCACTCTACCACTTGAGCCATCCTGCCAGCAAAATTTGTTTTGTTTTATTAAAAAGTGTGAGGGGATTGAAGCCTTCTACAGCCAGGTTTGCAGTTGAGATTGCCTTATTTGGTCTTTATAGGCTCTATATCAAGTAGATATTCACCTCAGTCTTACTTGCACTTGGCTTCTGGCCTTTTGCACAGGTAGCAAGGGAAGCAAAATGAGTTGTGCTTTTTTTGTTTTTTAACTTCCTCTAAATTTTTTTATTATAAAAGTAGTATGTGTGTATCATATGAAACTTGGGGAAAGTACAGAAAACTAAGAAAGAAGGAAAAATACCCATACCTAAATCTCACTACACTGAAAAAAACTGTCATTTTAGCCTATTTCCTTTCAGTCTTTATTCTAAAGTTTCATGCTATGTTATGTATAAACTGTGTAGCTTTGGTTTGTTTTTTGGTTTTTTTCCTTAATCTAATATAAAGATTTTCCTTTGAAATAATCAAAAACAAAAACTTTGTAAAATCTTCAATATATACATGATATTCGGATAGGCCATATTTTAGTTATTGTTCCAAAAGTGGCCCTTTGGTTATTTTCAAAACTTATTATATACAATGCTGAGGCAAGGTGCCTTTCCCATTGGATGACTATCAGACAGAGTCATCCCAGTCTTCTGCTACTTTCAAACAAATATGTCCTGCTGCTTGCCGGCCACAGTGAATTATCATTCAGGAGGGAAACTTTAAGACTTTCCTTTTTAGAAAACAATCCTAAAAGCTTTGACACTTGCTACAACAAAGATGAACCCTGAAGGCATTCTACTAAGTGAAATAAACCCGTCACAAAAGGACTGCTACTGTATGAGTCCATTTATATGAGCTTCCTAGAAATAAACCCACAGGGACAAAGCAGAATGGTGGCTGCAGGAGCTGAGGGGATGGGGGACCGGGGGATTAGTGTCTAATGGGCACAAAATTTCAGCTGGGGAAGATGGGAAAGTTCTAGAGATGGTGGTGGCAATAGTTCAACAATGTGAGTGTACTTAAGATCACAGAATGGCGTAATTAAAAATGGTACATTTTATGTTATGTAGACTTGACTACATTAAAAAGAAACAAAAATCAAAAAAAAAAAAGTTTAAGCTCTTTTACAGTAGTTTACAGTATTTCTATTTACACCATTGTGATAGGTTCACAAAAATAGAACTGCTAGGCAAAATGGAATAGGACTTTTCAGACTCAATCGAAAAGGCCGAACGACACGTATTTAAAAATGTACGCACACACCTTTATATTTAAGGGAAAGGAAACACCTGAATGGGATTACCAAAACAAGACTGGAATTTCATTTAGGAGTTAAAGGAACTACCACAGGTGGAAAACAACAGTCTTCAGGTCAAACTTAGGTCTGAGGCAAATAAGTTCTGTAAGCTATTTTTTGCCTCTTAAAAGAGGAAAAACCAAAATATTCTGGCCTGCATTAATTAAGTAAGAGATGAAGGACTCAGCCTCTGATGGCCAGCACATTATGTGTGGGTATCTATCATCCACAAGGCCTTCCTACCCTCCTGACAGAAAAGGCATCCTAAAAATCAAAGTAGAAAATAATGTATACATGAGGAAAGTGACAGGAATTGAAAAGCAACGATCAGATTCAAACTTTACAATGAGTAAACTTACCAGTTGCACTTGTCTTAGGGAGCCAGTGCCATACAAAAGGGAAGGACCCCAGCAGTCGGGAGATACGGAATCTGATCCCATCTGCCCTAAACAAACAACTAACGTCTTGTTTGGGTCAAACCTCTCTGAACTCAATTTCCTTATTTAAGTAACATAAGTCAAAGTCCCTAAGGGGAACTCTCAGGTCTCTGATTCTGCAACAGTCTCCTGTTTTAAAGGTGATAGGGAAAAATGAGAGAAGTTCTCTCTGAATGCACTGGTTCTAGTGAGATGGTCAGAATCATTCTCCATAACATGACAGATCAAGTAGTACCTGGAAAACAAGAGAGAGTCCACTAACTGTGCATTTCCCAGCCTTCTGAAGGTAGGGACTGGAGAAAAGGGCAAGGTGGTCTGTAAGAAAGAGGAAAAGAGAAAAGGCTCACCATGGCCATTGCAATAGTAGATCCACTTCTCCCGGTTCTGGGTTGGGGTCATGGTTTTCTTTAGCCCTGCCTTTTCCACAATGGCGCTGGGATCCTGCCGGGGCCCCTTTTTCAGAGTCCTGGAGCTTTTCCGAATACTGCACACTACTATCACCACAAGCACCAGCAGCAGGAAAAGCACAATCATCCAGGGCAAATGCTCATTGATGTCAAAATGCTTGTGGAGGTTCTGTCTGGGAGGCCCCCTCTTGGGGCCCTTGATGGGCGTGCTGGACTTCTCACCCCCGGTGGCCTCCATGGACGGCAGCAGCTTCAGGATGTGTCTGTGGTAGGGGCCTTGCTGGTGGGGACTTGGGAGGGTCTTGTTCACGCCTTCCTCCCCCCCTGGTGAGCTTGTGTTGTCAGGGAGTGCCCCTTCCTGGGTTCCACTTGGTACCTTTGGTCTAACAGAGGCAGAAGAGTTGGATTCTGTTGAATTCATGCCTAGAAAAAAAGAGTAAGGAGGGGGAAGAGCTTTTCCATATCTGGGGATCTATGTATTCCTTCCTCTCCCTGGTCATCTCCAAACTATCGAAATAATCAAGGAAGAGTGGACAGCTGGAGCATAAGTGTAAATTATATTGAGCATTTTCATGAAGGCCCTAGCAGCATCTTTATGTAGAAGGTAAAATCTGAATAGCTAAACTCACTTTCTTACATTAAAAACAAGGGCATCCTCAGGGATCTGAGCTTTGTAGCAGCTTCTCCTGTACTTCAAGCACTGAGTAGACAATGGGAATTTTCAGCACTCTAGTCAACTCTTACCTGTTTTGATTATTCAGAAAACTAGTCCAAATGTAATTCCTCTGTTCCTCTTCCTCTCTCACCTTTATACTATTTCATGATGCAATGGTAAAACTGAGCATATGACTAAGATAAAGAGCTAGTGGAATGGCTCAAGTGGTAAAGTAGGCCTGCCTAGCAAGTGTCAAGGCCTGGGGTTCAAATCCCAGTAATGCTAAAAAAGAAAAAAGAAAAGAACTACATACAAATCCAAGTTCAATAAGTGAAAGATTTAGTGCAACAGGACAGTGAATAAAATAAGGCAAAACTTTCTCAATAGCTGTTATCCATAGATTAAGCAAGACTGGGGCTGATAGCTTAGTGGACTTCAGAAGTTTTCACAAACAGTCTTTGGGTCCCAGAGATAGAACCCCGCCTCTTGAGAAAATCTGGAGTGACCATTTGGGCTCTTTGAGCCTATTTCTTCATTTCAAAATGGTATCATGAAAATCAAATATCATCACGCATGAGCATATGGTAGGCAGCACAACTCAAGCCAGCTAGCTCATGAAAATTAAATTCAATCAAAAAAGATTCAAAAGGCTAAATTTTACATTTGCCTGAGATTCAAATGGAAACTCAGGAAAACTCAGACACTTAATAAAGGATGTGAAGTTAAGATCATTATAAAAATATGGGAATATTCTTTTCCAGATATGAGGGCTAATTACCTTCACTGTGATATAAATTTGCTTACTTCCTGAAATTTCTAACTTTCTTTCCCATTCTTTATTCCATTTTGGCTTCAATATTCATCCTTCCTTTCTAGGTATAATGGCACTTTCTCCTGTCCTTTTTCCCTTCTGGCTGTGTCCCTCCATGATTAACTCTTGTTGGAAAATCTTTTAATCTGGAAGGAACCTTAAACATTTAAATCACTCACTCACTTGGCAAGTTTGAAAATGATACCTGAGGAAACTTACATAAGGTCATACACTGTGCCTACTTCTCTCAGTTCTTATTTTCTAGCTTGATGTAACCTAGTTTTTAGATATTTGATCTCTCCTAATTAAAAAAAAAAAAAAAAAAACCTTCTGAGTGTAAGTGTTTCTAATAAGTCCAAAAGCCAGATTTAATTAGCCACAAAAGAAGGTCCCTTCTCCAAGGGATGACTTTGGGATACACAAACATCCTTTGTTATAAATCACTCTTGGTACCTCACTGGACTCAAAGCCTCTGCAAATAAATAATTCATGAGGTTAAGTTACCTTTGGGAACATAGGTGGAGGAAGGGACTTCATGGGATTCCATGTGCTCAGGGCGTGAAAAGATGGCTGTGCCAGAGGAAGGTGGGGTCGTGCTGGAGAGGGACAGGTGTGTGCCACAGACGCTGTCTGCCTCCTTGGTCCCTGGCTTGATCACCACCAGGTTCTGACTCAGACAGTCTGTGTGTGCTTTGCATTTCATCACACTGGAAGGCACATCAGAAAAAGTACCCCGAGCACACTGCTTACACCGCACGTCCTCATTCTCTGTCCCTTTTTTTCGCACACCCCAACCCACAGGACACGCTGTATGGGGGGCGCAGGTACCATTAGACTGGAACATGCCAGGTGGGCAAGTGCATTCTCGGTCAGTCAAGGCAGCACAAGGTAATTTCTCAATCATTGGCCGTGGACATGGCTGACTACAGTCATGGCACTTCTCTATGCCATTCTCATGCCTGGTAAAGGTCCCTGCAGGGCAACTGCTGCAAACACGCAGGCTTGTGTTGGTACAATGCTCGGAGACATAGGTTCCTGCTGGACACTTATCACAGGTAAGCACCTGGCCAGTGGCATGGTCAACATGGCGGTATGTGCCAATGAGATTTGGGACCTTCGGTTGTGGCTGAGCTATGGTGGTGCTGAGGAATCCAAGCTGAAAGAAAAAAAAGGGGGGGGGAACAAAACCCAAGAGATGTTACATAGGAAGAGAGAAGGAAGGACCAACAATCACAACCACCACCACCACCATCATTCCTATTAAAGATCTGGTCAGTATCACATACACTTGACACTACTGTTGCCACACAGTAGGAGAGAAACCGAGGCATGGATTCCACCTTAGCACCTTACCTACTGCCTGTGAGGCTGTTTGAGTTGCCTCACGCTTGCCTCAGCTTCTTGTTTTCTTTCTGTAAAATGAACCTGACACTACCTCGCAAATTGAGTATAATAATCAGTCAAGAATATGGATAGGAAAGCACTTTGTAGCTCGTACTAAAAATGCCTAGCTGGTGTGGTGACACACACTTATAATCCTAACACTCAAGAGGTGGAGGCAGGAAGACCATGAGTTCCAGGCCAGCCTGGACTACACACCAAGTTCTAGGATTTCCTCGCTTTACGATGAGACTCTGTCCCAAAACAAAACAGGCAAATGCTATGCAGGAGTTGGGCTATAGCTCAATGGCCAAGTGCTTCCCAGCATGCACAAGGTCCTGGATTTGATTTTCTGCACCATGAAAATAAACAAAAATAAAAATGCTATATAGAAGTCAAAGTCCTAATGTAAGAAGGTAATAACTAGCTGACAGTTGTCTTTCCTTCCCCAACCCAACTATAAAGGTGCCATTTCTTGATACTAAAACAAAGCAAGTGAGAACACAAAAAGCACATTTTTCAAGCTATTACTTGAATAGCACTGAATTGTCTGGCTGGGATTAACCTATAGATGTGGCATGATTTTTTTTTTCAAAGCTTTCTTCTACATGATGCTACACCTTTGTTTTTTTCTCAACAAAGGCAGCTCTTGGCATTCTTGCTAATGTGCTTTAAACAACAGAGTGGATGCTTTTAGGTTTGCAAGCCTCTGATGGCTGCACCTGCTAGAGTGCCACCATGTAGCTACTGAGGAAACCATGCACAAAGCTGGCCCCAACCAGAGGGACTCAAGAGACTTTCAATTTCATTCACAGAATAAAAGCTTCACCCCACACACCAGAATTTTACACTAGCTTCCAGAATGAAAGCTTGGGGAAGAGCAAAGCTTTTTGCAATAATGAACATTGAGAATTCCAACAGTTTTCACTGTCCTCTGTAGAACAGAGAAAGTTTATAAGAAAATAATGGCTCCCGCAAACTACCAGCTACCTGACAGGGCAGATTCCCTCTAAGTTTGGGGCTGAACCAGTATCTATGAGAATAAAGCAAGAAGCTTTTTCTCTTTTTTTTTAATTGTTTTATTATTCATATGTGCATACAATGCTTGGGTCATTTCTCCCCCCTGCCCCCACCCCCTCCCTTACCACCCACTCTGTCCTCCCTCTCCTCCCCACCCCCTCAATACCCAGCAAAAACTATTTTGCCCTTATTTCTAATTTTGTTGTAGAGAGAGTATAAGCAATAATAGGAAGGAACAAGAGTTTTTGCTGGTTGAGATAAGGATAGCTATACAGGGTATTGACTCACATTGATTTCCTGTGCGTGGGTGTTACCTTCTAGGTTAATTCTTTTTGATCTAACCTTTTCTCTAGTTCCTGGTCCCCTTTTCCTATTGGCCTCAGTTGCTTTTAAGGTATCTGCTTTAGATTCTCTGCGTTAAGGGCAACAAATGCTAGCTAATTTTTTAGGTGTCTTAGCTATCCTCCCACCTTCCTTGTGTGCTCTCGCTTTTACCATGTGCTCAAAGTCCAGTCCCCTTGTTGTGTTTGCCCTTGATCTAATGTCCACATATGAGGGAGAACATACGATTTTTGGTCTTTTGGGCCAGGCTAACCTTACTCAGAATGATGTTCTCCAATTCCATCCATTTACCAGCGAATGATAATATTTCATTCTTCTTCATGGCTGCATAAAATTCCATTGTGTATAGATACCACATTTTCTTGATCCATTCGTCAGTAGTGGGGCATCTTGACTGCTTTCATAACTTGGCTATTGTGAATAGTGCTGCAATAAACATGGGTGTGCAGGTGCCTCTGGAGTGACCTGTGTCACAGTCTTTTGGGTATATCCCCAAGAGTGGTATTGCTGGATCAAATGGTAGATCAATGTTTGGCTTTTTAAGTAGCCTCCAAATTTTTTTCCAGAGTGGTTGTACTAGTTTACATTTCCACCAGCAGTGTAAGAGGGAAAGCAAGAAGCTTTTTCAAAGTGATCAGAGTTCCTATTTACTTAGTATCTTGAAACTAACCCATGATTCATTTACTACCCAGCCCTAAAACTGAACTATCTGAACCAAAAACATTTCCTGGGAAGTCTCTTACCCAGTCCCAGAGCTGCCTCCAGTTAAAAAGACAATAATAATTTTTCATTCATTTTCAGTTTATAATACATTCAGTTTTTCTTTAATCTAAGACTAAAAGGAATGTTTTTAAATGGGTAGTGATTGATTTTCTTATTAAGAAGCTTAATTTCATCTGGGAGCCCAAAGAAAAAGCACCCCATGCTAAGTGATGATAAATTCTCTGATGTCTTCTCTTCTCAATCCTGACTTTACCTTTACCTTTTGTTTCCTTACTGCTTCTGTTTGCAAAATCAGCCCCAGAAACCCTCTTCCAAGCGTGGGAGATGCACTAGAAGAGGAACTGCCCTGTGGAGCCCAAGTTCCACTTGGCAAATATCAAGGACAAGATTACCTCCAATCTTCCCAACACTAAAGACATGACCCAAAAAGTTACAAAGAGCTTTGTCTATATTTCTTGGAGTTCTTCATTATCTAATGTCTACAAACAAAGTAGTTTTAGGTAGCTGCAGCATTTTGGACATTTGAAAAATGTATAAGTAACCCATATGGCAGGCTACTACAATTATTAAATGAACGCAGTGGATCAAACTCAAGATCTGACCCGGGAGTGGTGGTCAGGGTTGAACATAAATCTGATATTATGTTAACTATATCTGCCTCCCTGCCTGTGCAGAGGCTAGACAATCAGCCACATGCATCCCCAGGAGGTATCTATCGATTAAGCACAGGGAGTCACAAATGGCCCTGTGTATATGTGTGGTGGGGGAAGCTAAGCTTCCTACCGCTTCATGTGTCTCCCCAGAGTATGAACTCCAAAATCTAAGATATGGAGTAGGTAGGTGCTACGTCAGCCCCTGAGAATCACTGACTTAACAGAGCAGTATACAAAAGCCACCTCCAAATACCAATGCATCTATACTCTTCCCATGTTTTCAGTGGATTTGTCACCTTTTTTTTAGTCAGAGTGTCAGTATGTAGCCCAGGCTGGCCCCGAACTCCCTATCCTCCCGCCTCCGTCTCCCAAGTGCTGGGATTACAGACTTGCACCACCATGCCCAGCTGATTCATTTTCAAATCGGTCACAAAAGAGCACTGAACAGAAAGGACACAGCGGCAGGGCTGCCTCTTGGGCCAAGAAGGAGTGGGAGGTAGACTCTCAGTCCCCCATTCTGCCTTAAACATAGCAGCTCTGTTTTACCAAGCCTAATTAGGCTTCCAAGTAAAAGTTCATTTGAAAGAACTCTTGTTTTATGAGTGAAACAAGTCTGACCATCACTGGCTAGAGGGATCGTTAAGATCTCTTCCAAGTCAATGGTTCCAAACCACCTGTGCTACAAAGCTAGAGGAACTGCTCCACTGGGCTCCTTTTCCTCTCTGGAACTATGCTGGAGGAAGAGTGGCAACACTCCTTTCTCTTTAAAGACAAATGGTACCTGAGAACAGTTATTTTCCTGAGACCTTCTAATCAACTGCAGTCATGATCTAAGCTAGAGCTTTTCCCACTAGCTTGGTGGCAATCTTTAGTTTTTAAGAAAATTAAAACATTGTAAAAACCATTCCCAAAAATGATTCTGGAAGTGAAGTCGTGGGTAGTGGGGATGAGAGGGATCAAATCAAAGACAATTATTTAAGGATGCTCTCTATAAAATATAAAGACGAGATGGGCCAGGCACAGTTGGCTCACGCCTACACTCCTAGCTACTCAGGAGGCAGAGATCAGGAGGATCGTGATTTGCCCAGGCAAATGTCCACGAGACCCTGTCTTGAAAAAAACCATCACAAAAAAAAGGGCTGGTGGAGTAGCTCAAGGTGTAGGCCCTGAGTTCAAAAAAAAAAGACAAGCTAGTATATGGAGAAAACACCTGACTGTGCCAAACACCTGAAGCTGGGTCTTACAAATCAAGATTCTTAATTCTCCCATTTGTACAGAGGTGGATAAATTGATATCACAAGTTCACCAAAGCCTCAGGTCACAGACACAAGCATCAAAATTGCCTAGGAAGATTTTACAAAAACTTCATATCCCCAGTCTCATCCTCTGAGGCCATTGTGACTCTGCAATCAGGTCAGGAATGTGTTTTGTTTTAGCTCTGTGGTTTGTTTTGCTTTTAAGCTCTCCAAGTGATTCTGATGCCTAACTAAATTTTGGACCCCCTGAACTAAGCTCAAACCCCTCTGGATCTAATCTCTGATTTTGAGAACACATTGTGGACACAACCCAATCCCACTGCCACAGTCACTCCCCTCCGTCTTTTACCCAGCCCTGTACTTTCAATTGTCCTAAAACTCTTTATTAGCCTTTTTTAACAAAAATAAACATTCTAGTAATAATTTTAATAAATCAGAAACATAGAGTAAAAACACTTAAATCTCTGCTCAGATCCACTCATCCCCAGAGACTCACTGTTAATTTTGGTACACTTCTTTCCAGGCCCTTTTCTGAGTATTTGCGTGCTCATACTTTGAGTTAGCTGTTTCTGTTGCTGTGGAGTTTACATATCTAAAGGGGACAGGCCATATGTACTGTTCTGTGATTTGTTTTTGTTCAACTTCTTTCTTTTTTTCTTTTCTTTTCTTTCTTGTTGCTGGGGATTGAACTCAGGGTTTCACGCATGCAAGGCAAATGCTCCACCACTGAGCTACAGCCCCAGTCTTCTTTTGTTTTACTTCTAACATTGATCGTTGAGATC